AAAGAAGAAAGAGAAAAACAAAAGGCTCAAGGCAAAGGTATAAATGGTAGGAGCTATTTTGTTTTGGTAATCGAGACACTTAGTGAGTATGATCACATTTAGTATCGATAGCCATACTATTAAGAGGGGTGAAACTCGTATCGAAATGCGGTTATCAAAGTGCCACTAGATGCTCTAACTCATTGCATATGCATTTAGGATCTAGTGGAGTGCTAACACCCTTGAAAATGTTTGTGAAAATATGCTAACACACATGTGCACCAGGTGATACACTTGGTGGTTGGCACATTTGAGCAAGGGTTAGGAACTTCACTGGCGCCCTAGACAGAAAAGACAAATGTCACTGTAAGTGACCGGACACTGGTCTCGGTAGGACCGGCACGTCCGGTCAGAAGAAGCAGCGAAGACGCTGGCGTCGGTCTCTGACCGGACGCTGGGTCACTTAGTGACCGGACGCTGGAAGGTTGCGTCCGGTCCTACTGACATGGCTATGCACAGGGGAGTTGCCGAGTGACCAAACGCTGGGTGTGTCCGGTTGAGCACGACCGGACGCGTCTGGTCGTGAAAAGTCGTCTCTGGATGCTTACTAGAAACGACCGGACGCTAGGGTTCAGCGTCCGGTCACTTTGAGCTGCTGCGTCCGGTCGTCACTTGACCGTTGAGATCGGGCGATCGATATCTGAACAGAGGGGACATGTGGCATGCATCGCGTGACCGGAAGCTGAGGTCCAGCGTTTGGTCAATATGACCGGAGCGTCTGGTCACCCCGCATTGTGCCCAGTGAAGGGGTACAACGGCTCTATTTCGTGGGGGCTTCTATTTAAGCCCCATGGCCAGCTCAAGCTCACCCTCTTGGCCATTTGCATTGACATAGCAACCTTGTGAGCTTAGCCAAAGCCCTCCCACTCATCTCCATCATTGATTCATGATCTTTGTGAGATTGGGAGAGAATCCAAGTGCATTGCTTGAGTGTTTGCATCTAGAGGCACTTGGTGTTCGTGTTTCGCTGCGGGATTCGCTTGTTACTCTTGATGGTTGCCGCCACCTAGACGGCTTGGAGCAATGAGGATCGTCGAGCGGAGGTTGGTGATTGTCTCTAGCTCCGATCGTGGTGCTTGTGAGGGGTTCTTGACCTTTCCCCGGTGGAGAGCCAAAAGGTACTCTAGTGAATTGCTCGTGGCTTGTGTGATCCTCATCTTGTGTTGGTTGTGCGGCACCCTATTGAGGGTTTGGTGTGTGATGCCAATTAGCGCGTGAACCTCCAAGTGAGTGAATCGCCACAACGAGGAGTAGCTTGCCGGCAAGCAAGTGAACCTCGGTAAAAAAATCATTATGTTCATCATTTGATTCTGAGGTGATTGGTCTCCATTGTTATTCATTCTTGTGATTGATTGGCTCCTTCCTCGACACGGCAGTATAACCATCTTGCTCACTCTCTTTACATTACCGCAAACTAGTTGTCAAGCTCTTTGGTGTAGCTAGTTGTGAGAGCTTGTTAGTTTGGTTAGTGTGGCTCTTTAGTTAGCCTTTGAGAGCACACTAACTTAGTGTAGTGACATAGCTATTGTGTGGATAGAAACTATATAAACTAGAATTGTGGTAGGTGGCTTGCAATTTTAGTAGGCTAGCGCAACACTTGCTTCGCCTCATAATTGTCTAACCGGTTTGCTAAGTGTTGTTGTAGAAATTTTTATTAGGCTATTCACCCCCCTCTAGCCATTAGGACCTTTCAGTCACGATGGCCTTGAGCAGGTCACCGAGCATCTTCTGCTCCTTCTCGATGGGCCCATATCTCCACACCTCCGGCACCTCCTCGAGTAGGTGGCCGGTAAAGATCGGCAGGGGGGCATCGTCGTCGTTGTTCAGGTAGAACCAGAGCTTATGCCACCCCTTGTTGGACTTTAACAAGGGGATGGACATGTACTCCGATGCTCGGCTGCCCCGTAGATGGATGCTCGCGCACCCCATCGGCACCACCAGGTCCGACTTCTTCTTCTCCTTCTTCTTCTGCAGCTCGATGGTGAAGAAGTACTTCCATAGCATGAAGTGGGGCTCGATCCCCAAATACCCCTCGCATAGCGCAATGAAGGCCGAGATGTGCTGAATCCCGTTGGGATTCAGATGCTGCAGCTCTAGCCCATAGAAGTGCAGCAGCCCTTGGAGGAATCGATGGGGAGCAGTCACGAACCCTTGCTCATGGAAGGGGATGAAAGAGACGACGTAGCCATCGGGCGGCGATGGCACGTCCTCGCCACCAGGTATGATCTAGTCATTCCCCATGGTCCTTGCACAGAGAAGGCCCTTCTTGACTAAACCCTCCATGCGCACGCGGAGAACGTCGAAGCGAGGCCACGGCTCCATCGAGGATAGGGATGGCAATGCAGAGGATCCGACGGCGGCGTAAGGCTAGAGAGCGAGAACTTCGCCGGTGGTGGAGTGGAAACAGGGAAACAAAGGCTGGGATTCAGGAGCGAAAGGCAGAAAGATTGGAAGGGCAAAGGATGCGGCTGCGCGTACGGAGGCTAGGGAGAAACCGCTTCGTTTATAAGGTAAGGGTGGAACGGGCAAAGGGCGAACCGTCTGCCTAAATTAACCTGCCACACGCCCCACCAGGTCTGTTTCCTTCGGGGCTCGAACCCTCATTATTTCTCATAGCATCAGTCGCATCGCCACCTCGAGGGACGAACGCATGCCTATCCCAATCTTCCCCACAAAGGATCTGCCGGGCGACAGTTCGACTTTAAAGGCCCTAGGCCACCGTAGGTAAGAGGGATACAGAGCTAAGAATGCTCCTATGGCCCATTAACGCCTAGGAGTTCAAAGGCTGGCCCACTAGTGGGTTCACGGTCTCTCCAGGGCACCTTAGAGTGAGGGGAGGTTAAGGACAGGCCCACTAGCGGCCAGTACCCAAAGCACGTGAAGCACCACGGGCGTCCTGACCCTCGTTTCAAGTCTTGGATGATGCAAGGTCCATGGGTTTTCCGTGAAAGAAAGGCATCGAGCCCTCGGACCGGTCGAACGGATCCGGGAACTATATGAACCAGCCACCAAGAATCTGGAATTAGTCACCAGCTGACCTTGAACTGGGCCCCCACGAAGGGGATGCCGGGGCTCCACTTGAACAAGCCCATTAACAACTCGCCGAGCACCATGCTCCGTCCAGCGAGGAAAGCATGGCATGGCTCAGCCCCTTCGTTCTAGCGAATGAACGCATGAGGGACGACGATCACAAGACGAACCGACCCCCTGACCGGATCCCTGCTACGCGCAGGGGCTCGACATCGCAAGGAGACCGAACACGCGGTTGTAGGCAAACAACGAGTGTCATACGTAGCTTGCCATCCTGCAAAACAATGATAAAAAATAGTACTCCCATGCCCCCTCAAGCAACGGATCACAAAAAGCCTTTGTAGGAGTGTCGCACTCCTCCAAAGGCTCGGGGGCTACACCCACCAGGTGCGCTCATGCGCACCCGGTGAAAAACGAATTACCGGAGTGTCTCCTCCCTAGGGGCTGGGTGCCCGTGTCCACTTTGCCAGACTCCTACATAGAGGCTTGGTATCTAAATCCTACTCGGTTACCATACAGGGTATAACGAACCGAGGGGAAAACGCCAAAGTTACAATAATGACCCGCCCCCATGGCACAACAGCCACAGGAGCAACAAATCATGAAAAAAGCCTTTGTAGGAGTGTCTCACTGCTTCGAAGGCTCGGGGGCTACTATCGGATATCTATACCTGGGTATCCAAGCCAAAGGATTAAAGAGCGTCAGGTCGCCTCATCCGATGGTTAAAGACGCAACTACGGCCTCATCCGACTCCGAGGGCGAGGTTTCCGCCTCGACCGACCCCCTGGGGCCGAGCCATGCCTCATCCGATGCCAAGGACGAGGTTTCCGCCTTGTCTTACCCCCAGGGACCGGGACACGCCTTGTCCGGTCTCACGGGGAGGGGTCCGCCTCGTCCGATCCCCGAGGGTCGGATCCCGCCTTCTCCGGCTCCCAGGGAGAGATTTCTGCCTCGCCCAGTCCTTAGGGATTAGATCTGCTACCGGACCAAAATAGTAGTCCCAGGGTAGGACTCGAACCGCTTCAACCACTACGGCATAGAGGCGCACACCCAGGAGCACATCTCGGACGCGCCCTTATGCGACTAGTGGTCGTATCAGGCCATGCTGGGATACTCAAGTCACCCGTCTCATCAACAGGCCAGCACTGTGCTGCCAACTCCCTGCTTGACCACCATCCAACGTTAGTCAACCGGCATCAGTTGACTAGCACTGTGCCGCTAGCCCCCTCCCGTATGGTTTATGTCAGGGGACCCTCTGACCATTTCGTCCGCTCGGATGGGATGGGAGACAAGAATGACGCACGATGCCCGCACGTATGCTGCAATGGCTAACAGGACCCCGGTATGACGCCATGGCCACCACGATCTATAGGGTCAGTGGGACCCACGTAAAGAGGAGGACGGCACATCTCCGGGAGCCTTATTTCTTTTTCTTTTTCCCACTTCCCTTTGGCTGTAACCCCTGCTTTCTATTTTCCTATAAAAGGGAAAGCAGGGTGTCCCACTAAAGGGATCGGTTCATCCCACATCGAATCATCGAACAAACACACCGCATCACACCAGAGACTTGGGAGCTCCTCCCTCTCTCGCCTGTTTGTAACCCCTACTACAAACTTAGTGCTAGTAACACAAGCAGCCCGAAACTGGACATAGGGACATTCGGCCCGAACCGGTATAATCGTTATGTCCTCCTAGCACACCATCCGGGTTAGACGCGCAATATACAAATTTACTAGATGGTGCTTACTCGAAACACCGACAACATGTGGTTTGGAGAGACCTGACAAAATGCGGCTTAAGGGAATCTCCAGTAGTAGGAGTCAGCTGGTGGCTCTTAGATACCATGTCATCCTATAGAGCGCACATGTAAAGTGTTCTTTATTCCATATAATCTCTCCCGTCATCTATGCAAGAGAGAGATAGAGGCTCACATAGAGGTGCACCTTTCATGTAGGCGGCGAGGATGGCGTCGAGGTCTGCCGCGCACAGCGTGGTGGGCTTGTCTAGGAGCACATGCTTGCCTCTCGTGGTGGCGGCGGCGGCCCAGCGCACGTGGAGGCTGGTGGGGAGCGGGAGGTAGATGGCGTCCATGTCTGGGTCGTTAAGGAGCGCCTTGTAGGAGCCGTGGAGGCGGGTGGCGGCGACGTCGAGGCCATTGTCGACAGCGAAGAGGTGGGCCTTCTCCTCGGAGTGGCTCCCGATGGCTGCGCCGGGCGCGCGCTAGCTTGCGCGCGATGTCAGCGCAGCCTAGGATGCCGAAGTGCACGGGGCGAGCCAGCTGGTCTGGCGCCGCGGCAGCCGACATGGGCGGCGGTCGGGTGCTCTTTTGCGTGGGCGTTGGTTGGCGGCTTGGTGCATCTAGGCTCTCTGGCTATCTCCCGTGGTGGTAGGCGATCCACCTTTGGGCATGTTTGTTTGTTTGACGAGGATCAAGCCTGTTCGTCTGGACATCTTTTGTGCCTGGACGGCACGCTCCTTGAAGCAGCTGAGCGTCTGTCCCTAGAAAAACGAAGGGGGTCATTTCTTTGGGGCTCGGCTCTCTCCAGCGCTCACGGTCGTTCATGTCACCACCCCCTGTTTTCACAAAGCGCTCTCCCTCTGTCTTCATCCTATGCTCCATCTCCCACCCTATCAGCGGTGGCCAAGGATGCCATCTCCGGCGTGGCTTCGCACCAGCGCATCCGAGCTCCGTCCTCCCCCTCCACCATCACCGACCTATCAGCGCACCACCCTCGTTGCACTCCTCGGACCCCGCCGCCGCACTCGCGGCGCATGCCGACAAGTAGCGCCACCTCAACTACGCCATTGTCCGGCACAGCTTCTGTGCCTCAACAACGCGGGGTCCTCGCCCGGTGGCGGTAGCTGGGACAAGGCTCGAGCTCGCCCATGGCGGTCAGGACCGAGGCTCGATCTCACGTGCCGGAGCGCACCGCGCAGTACAGCCGAGGCGAGGACACGGTCGCCACGGCAGTGTGCCCATGGAGGTTGTGCGTTCTACCTATTTGTGGAAATGCCTCAAATAAGGGAAGGGGAAGAATTCAGTGGTAACTCCACTGCATGCTACTCCAAGGTGATCCCATACACATGTGCAGGCAAACAAACAAAATCCCTATGTAGCCTGGTTCTGCTAGGAAATGGAACAAAACAAGCACTTGTTGCACCTGCTGAACCTACCCTCCGGTACCCTGGACGTCCTCATCTGACCAAGCTAGAAACATCGAGGCAATCAAACACACCATTTGTGTTTCATGACGGATATGCGATTTGGGGCGTACTCTGGAGCCTTCGCTCGGAGCCAAGCAAACGCTTCTAGAGATGTGCCTGGGTCCTACGGACCTATACTCTACACTACACATGAGTTCAGCCTCCATAGCTCCACATGCCCCGGTGGGGGGAGGGTGAAGCGCACTGGGCGTGGTGGTGGTGGCTGCACTGGTGCTGTAGAGGACGACATTGGCGGTCGCGACGCGGCGGCGATGGCGGCAGCATTGGTTGGTCTCTGTTCGGTGTCAGTGTATGTGGTCTGAAGTGTCTAGTTCAGCTTTTAGGTTTATGATAATCAGGACAGGTTGGGTTCGCAATGTAGGATGCACACGTTGGATGTCTAGGCTAGTTCTTGGACCTAGCTGTGGAGAGATGCAAAACTCATCTTCTGGCTTGGCTCGGAGCCTTAGACCCGTAGAAACGGGGCCATTGCAAATTTTGTTTATCTGTGAATCTGGTGGAATATCTTCTCCAAGCTGTTCTTGGAGGTTTTCCTAAAGCTTTTCAAGTTGTGCAATTAGATGACAGAGTTTTCAGATTCTCAATGGCATCGCAGCTTGTTGGTTTTCATATCTTTAACCTCCGATCCTTTGAATGCGTTGATTTCACGGTCTTTTTCCACCTCTGGCATGATGGAGGGCCAAATTATCAAGTTGAATATCGTAACTAGTGTTTGGAGCAGGATTATGAATGGGAGACAGTGGCTAAACAAAAGACGGTACGTCTCTATGGTGCTAACTCTGTTCCAATTCATGGCCATCATCATCTACCTTTGAGCTCCAACGCCATGGATTTTTCAAATTCGAATTTAACCTTTAATTCAAGTCATAAATCAGTCTTTAAGAGACTTAATCATAGTTTAAATTCATCTATTAATTATAAGGACGTTTCTATTTCTGAGGCTGGCATCCTGGGCCCGATTCCAAATCCTAGTCGTATTACTCTAGGCTATGGGCCTTTACTTCAGCTATGCACTAAATGCTTGTCTCCGGCCCACTCCTAGCCTACTTGCAATGGCACTGTCCACTGCTGGAGATGTCTTCGCCTTGGCCATGTTTCTAGAAATATGCAGACTCCCGCCTCGATCCCCGCGTCCTTCCTGTGATTCGAGCGGCTCTTCGGTTTCTAGAGATCAACGTGCTACGACATCGCTGAAGAGTGGACCTAAAGGGCAGCAGGCCCTGAGATTATTTCCCACATTCCCTCAATACATTAAATATTTGGTTGGTCTCTCATCTATTCCTCCACCAGTCGCTGTTCCTTGGCGTTAGCCTTGGAAACATACTGCTCTCGAGTTCATCGATGACGAGCCTCCCTCATCATTGCCTTAGGTGTCGGCGGCAACCTCGGAGCCATCGCCATCGCTTATTTGCTCATCCTTCGGTGAGTATGCCACTAAGTTTCTTGGCATTCATCATCTTCCTTCCTCTACTCATGTGGCTTGGACGCTGAAAACCCCAATTGGTGCTATAGTAAACTCTTAACCTGTTGCGATGGCATATTGTTTTGTGGACCCGACTCCTTTTATACCCACTTGGGGTCAGCGGGTGATAGTCCCGGGTCACCCTGCCATGCATAGAGTGGTTACTGGTAGATTGCAGAGGCACAACAATGATCTTGCCATTGCTTTCATCCATCCTCTGCCACCGGAGCAGATGAACTTCGATGACATTCGCTACACTTTGGTACAATTTCTGAACGTGCAAATGCAGATGCCATATCAGTCAATCCAACCCTGTCCTTTTGGTCAAGCATATGTCACTTTCAGTCATATGTCGCATAGGTATTTTCTGATCAATAGTGGTCCTCATCAAGCTGGCAATTTTCACATTTCCTTTATTCCCCATGATCGTGCTTGGAATAATAGAACCACTGTGTACACCCATGAAATTTGGTTGATGATGATTGGTCTAAATCTTGATCTGTGGTCTTACTCTTTGGTTGACAAGGCAATTTCTCAGTTTGAAAAGCTCATAGTGTGGGAGGAGGATCATAACCATCAGGCCAGAGACTTGGCCAGAGCCTTGGTCAAGGCCAGAGTGGTAGGCCTATGCTGTCCCTTGGTTCCTAAATTTCTCTAAATGTGAAGATCTAGAAGCAGATAGTTAGATGGTTTAGTCTGAGAGCATCCTCACAAGAATGCTTGGTGCTGTCCCTTAGGATGAAGACTTCCCACCAGATGATCCAGATGATGTCAACCCCAGCAACTTTGAGTTTTTTGGCTTTGGACAGCCTGGACAAGGCCCAACTCCTCCAAATGACCCCAATGGCCCAAATGCACAATTCCATGATGATTTAGGCAATCCTGCTTGGGCCCCCTGGGACAACCCAAATGCAGCCCAATAGCTTAGTCAGGGATAGCCTGCAGCCCGACAAGGCTTTCAGCCCAATCTGGAAGAAGCACCTCTCCTAATACCACTCCATCCTGTGAATGTGAATGCTAATGATCAACCACAAGATGCTGCTGCTGATGGTTTAGTTCTACCAGTTGAGGAAGTGATCCAAAACAACCAAGACTTAATTGACCTGCCCCTAGTGGCTGAAGAACAGGTGCTGGCCAAGGATGATGAAACAGACACTGATTCAGAAGGGTTCCCACAAGTTCAGCTACCTATTCTCCTAGTTGAGATTGTCCCTTTTCCTGACTTCAACAACCTGCAGTTCCAGAGGGAGATTTACTTGGTTAGATAAATGGTGATGATAATGCTTTACAGCCACCACAGCATGAGAATATTCAGTTGGGTTTTGTGCAGATGTAGGATTCTTGGCCTCAACATCTTGCTTTTGGTCCTTGCCCTGAAGCAATCAGACAATGGGTAAATCACTTTTCTAGTCCTTCCACCAACTCCACTTCAGTTCTGATACCTGATGTTTGGATGATTTTTTTTCCTTTCTTCTGTTATAGTCTTCTACATTTGACTGGGCAAAAGATTTTCTCCAATCCAAGTCTTGGTCTTTCTTGGGCTCTAAATTGTTTGCCACTAATTGTAAATCTACTCTTTTCTCACTTCCTTCTTCATGCCCATCAGTTATTCTTTCTACATGTTCAAACTTTGAGCCCTCTTCTGCTGTTGTTTTAGAACCATTGGATGATGAACATGATCTGAACCTAGGAGATAATGGAGATAAGGCTACAAAAGGGCCTGTCACTCCCAAAAATAAAGGCAAGGGCAAGATGAAAGCCCCACTGTCTGAAGCTGATGTGAGAAGGAGTCTACGATTGAAGAAGGTTAACAAGGGTTTCAAATCCTCTTCTTGAAAGGACAAAAGTTGCCTTGGTTGCTCATCCAAGACACCAACCATCTCTCCTAAGGTTATTAGAAACTTGGGAGCTTCATTCTATGGCATTAATCTAGATGACCTTTCACCAACAAAGCTTAATGCCAAACCTGTGAAGAAGAAGAGAACAATGAGCAAGAAACAAGCTGCCTCCTCATCAGGCCACCAAAGCTCTAAATAGGCTACCTCCTCTTCAGGTCAAGGCTCCAAGCCTAAAGCTATAGATCAAGCTTCTTCCTCCTCTGGACAAAGCTCCAACAGTGGAGCTACTGACCCTAGTATCTAGTTATATAGGGTTATGTTTCTTTTGCTCATCTAGCTTTATCAATGTCAACAAGAACCTGGTCTGTCCTTAGTTAGAATGTAAGGGGGATTAACTCTGACAAAAAATGGGATGATGTCAGAGATCGTGTAATAAATAGTAACTGCAATATAGTCCGCCTTCAGGAGACTAAGAAGCAATCGTTTGATCTTATGTTTATTAAAAAGATTTGCCCTACATTTTTTTTATTCTTTTGAGTATATTCCTTCTGTTGGTGCCTCTGGTTTAGCAGACTTGGTCTACCCCAACCCATGAAAATGATGCATCTAAGGTTATCACAACTAAATTCAAGAATCTAAGAAGAATACTGAAGGAATGGCAAATAAATTTATCCAGTCTCAAATTAGCTATTCAGAATGTGAAACTGGTGCTCACTTTTTTCCTCTACTTAGAAGAATTCAAAGACTTAACCATTCCTGAATGGAATTTCAAAAAGATTCTAGAACAGAAGCTATCTGCATTGCTTAGATAGCAACATATATATTGGAAACAGAGAGGGTCTATGAAATGGATAACCCTGGGTGATGCTAGCACCAAAAATTTTCATGCTAATGCTTCCATCAAGTTCAGAAGAAACTCGATCACTTCCCTTGAAAATTCAGAAGGAGACATTATTACTGAACATAATGCTAAAGCAGATTTGATTTGGGAGTCGTTCAAAGAAAGATTGGGAGTATCTTCTTTCTAGGGAATAAATTTTGATTTACCTGCTCTAATACAGCCTGATCTAGATCTCTCCTTTCTGGTTAATCCCT